TTCCTGGATGCACAGAGTAGGCATCTAAGCATAAGGGACTAATTTTCCAAACAATCATGTTTTCTAAAAATTTTACATTTATCAATAATGTGATTCCCTGTCACTTAGAGGCTAAAGAGATAAGTTTGTTGGTCTGACTATAAGAGGCCAGGATCTCCAAATTCTAATGTTCAATCTAACAGCTTAATGTTAGCATTCATATCATACTGCCAGGACACTTATTTTTTTAAAACATTCATTAGCTTTAATATTATGTGTATGAGTATTTTGCCTTTATATATGTCTGTACACCATATGCATGCCTGGTGCCCACAGAGGCTAGGCAGGCATCAGATCTCTAGAGCTGGAGTTACAGACAGTTCTGAGCTGCTGTGTACTGGGTGTTGGGAATCAAACTCTGGTCCTCTGCAAGAGCAGCTAGTGCTCTTAACCACTGAGCTATATCTCTCCAGCCCTGTGGTTTATGTTCAAAATGAATGACTATTATTTTCATTATTTTTCTTATGGAGGCAGTAACACAGAAATGCAAAATATTTTTATGAGCTAATAAAGCTGTATTATCCAATAGCTATATTATTCTTACACTTACAAAAGTCTGTGTAGTAGTATCACGGACACGATCCAATTCAACATGAATATTTGTCCTTTAATCACAGCAAGTGATTCTCTTTATGACTGATAAGTAAGGAACTTAAAAGTTGGCATTTCTAAATAGGAGATAGGATCTGACCAGACAGACATTTTCATCATCAGTGAGAATTCAAGTTCCCGGAAAAAAAAGCCACACCTGTGATAAAGAGTCTACAAAGCTGATGGGCTGATTAGCACTTCCCGGACTGTGGAAAGATAAAAGTTAAAACATGGACGCAAAAGCTTCTTGGGCAATCTTTACTACCCCATCCCCTCCTACTGCTGGACACTGCCCAGCCTGGAACTTGCTATGCAGACCGGGCTTGCCTTGAGTTTGCAGGGACCCTTCTGTTTCTGCCTCCTGAGTTCTAGGATTACAGGCATGTACCACCACCACACCCGGCTCCCTGGCCTTCTTATATAAGTGAGGTGTTCTGGGATATACAAGCACACTATAAGCTTCCACCAGCCCAAAAGCTCTTGTCAGTAGACAGCATCTGAAAACTATAGCAGAGATTCCCCCACTCTGCTGTAAGCTGCCTGTCTCCTGGTTCTACTAGTGTGTCAAAATGCCTTGACTTATGACTTGTTCTCATCCTGTAACTGTAAAAACTTCGTGGAACCATCTCCACATTGGACCTTGCTATTTGGAGCTAGACAAAGGCATGCTGCCAGGCCATGGGCACTCATACTTATCTCAATAAAGCCTCTTTTAATTCCTTTTGAGGGGAAAGCTGTTTCTTGAAAGGACACAGAAGAAATTCCTCTTTTCGGTTACACAGCTAGCACTTGCTGTGTCCCTATCCTCTGACCACTGTTCAATAAAAACAAAAGAAACATATTGCCTTTGGTGACAAGTGCTGGGAATAAGAATTGCAAAATGCTTCTGATGGTTAATGCATGCTTTCTCTGAAAGGCTGGGGGCTGCTATCAGCTCTGCTTTGCTCATGGTAAATGCAGGGTCCTTTGAGAAAAATCTCCTGGCCTTGAAGATAGGATTAAAATCAGTTATTAGAGCTGAAGGAGTGGAAAGGAAATGCAGACAGACTCATAAAAACAATAAAGCACTTCAGAGCTGGTGCTGATCCAGCGGAGACCAGGCCACTGACATGAGGGAGCGCCGATGTCAGGGCTAATAGACTCTGATCAAAGGCCTCTGTAAGGAGTCATCCTGCCTCCTGTCACTCAGCCCCATTCCTAACAAAATTAATAAACCTGTTTTCCAAATGAGGACAGGGGCATCATGCTGACCTCCACAAAGACCCTGAACGGAACAGCATCCGAAGACCTTCACATCTGTAAACTCCACAGTCTGTTTTCAAGGAAGAGAGTGACAGCAAGGATTTAACAATCTAAGTGGGAAAAAATGTACTTAAAGTACCTTGACAAAGAAATTACTTTGTTCCATCCCTCTAGATTTTCCAAACAGACCTTTCCCATATAGCTGAAAAAAAAAAAAACATTCAACAGTGACCCACTCTTAGGTAAACCCAGTTTCTCTGCAAGCATAAAGAGAACAAAACAAACCAACTCTAGTTTAAAACAAAAGCAAAAAATAAAATAAATACGGAAATAAATTGTGTGCTGGCACGATGGCTGGGGGGGGAGGAGTAAAAGTGTCTGTGGCCTACTCTGACAATCCAAGTTTGATCCCTGAGACCTATGGAAGAAGGAATGAAGACCCCTGAGACTTTTCCTTTGACTGGCACATGCAAAGTACATATTTACTTTTCTGTGCAAATATATATGTTTGTGTTAGATTGGAACCTCCAGATTGCCCCTGCGTGATCCAGACAGCCCCATTCCTGTCTCTTTCTCCAAACCCTGCCATCTCAGAGAATCTCCAACACAGAAAAGGGGACAGAAAGCCCAGTTCCGCATTCCTGGAGACTACTGCAACTCCCTCCACTGCTGCCACCAGCAGCCCAAGGCCTCCCTAAGCATTCCAAAGCTTTTGACTACACTTGGGTACAAACACTGCCTGTGGCAGACACAGTATCACCCCTCGACTACATCTTATATCATCTCTCTGCTTTAGTTCAGGCCTGTGACTTCTCTGGCCTCCATCTCTGGGACTGAAGAATCCACCCGAGAGTTGCTTTGCTCAAATAAAGCTGTTATATGTTTTCAGTTTGGCTTAATCTGGCTGACTTTGTTGGCAGAGAAACCTATTATCTGGGCACAGAAAACCTGTTAGTTTGCATGTGGCTTTTCACATTGAAAAAGTGCCCTGAAACAATGATATTCCAAAGGAGTTAAAAAAATCTTGACTTTCAAATAGTGTCTGGTAGTGAACGGAAGTAGAAAGCTCCTTTTAAAGACAAGCCCAGCTTCAAGCTGGAGCCAGGAGGTGGTGGCACACAACTTTTTGTTTGTTTGTTTTACGAGACAGGGTTTCTCTGTATTGTTTTGCCGCCTGCCTCTGCCTCCCGAGTGCTGGGATTAAAGGCGTGCGCCACCACCGCCCAGCCATGTGGCACACAACTTAGAAATCCTAGTGAGGCAGAGGCAAGGCAGATATCTGTGAATTCAAGGCCAGCCTGGTCTACAGAGTGAGTTCTAGTACAGCCAAGGCTACACAGAGAACCTCTGCCCTGAAAAACCAAAACAAACAAACAAACAAACAAACAAAACAACAATGTGGATTTGAGATATTTTGTTCACCAGAAAGCAAGGAAGCACTTCTAATAAAATTGTGGGACTGAAGAGATAGGTAAGTGTTATTGTTGGGCAAACGTGAGGACCTGAGTACCTATGTCCAAAAATAGTAACTTGTGACTGTACCCCAGCATTATGGGGTGTAGAAACAGGAGGATCGCCGGGCGGTGGTGGCGCACGCCTTTAATCCAAGCACTCGGGAGGCAGAGGCAGGTGGATCTCTGTGATTTCGAGGCCAGGCTGGACCGATAGCCTCCGAAACAATACAGAGAAACCCTGTCTCGTAAAAACCAAAAAAACCAAAAACCAAAACAAAACAAAAAAAAAGAAACAGGAGGATCATTGGCACTTGCTGGCTCCCGATCTAGTTCAAGGTTCAATGGGGAGACTGTGTCTCAGGAGAATATGGGGCGAGTGATAGAGCAGAACAACCACCTGATGCCTTCAGCTGCATGCATGTGTACCTACAGATAAGGGTACCTTTCACCACATACACACATGCATGCATACATGTACGCACACACAGACACACCTGCACACCCAAATAACAAAAGTTCTTTACAGAAAAGTGCAGCTAACAAATATAGCATAAAGATATAAATAGAAAAATCAAAGCCATCATTCAGAACTGAGTCAGGCAAAAGTCACTGATGAAAGCTAAAACCACTGGGGAGGTATAGGGACTGTGTATAGGAACAGGATAGTCACACACTCTGAAACTGTTTATCAGGGATAACTTGCCACGGTTTTTGGGAAAGCTCACCACACAGCACCAGTCACAGTTAGCAGCATGGTTTGCCTTACTTTCTTAATAAGTTTGTTTGTTGGTTTTGTTCTTGAGATGGGTTTTGCTATGTCCAGGCAGGCCTCAAACTTAGGATCCTCATGAATCAGCCCCCTCCGTTTTATTTTTCTGCAGTCAGCACCTCAATCTGTTTCTTTATTACTTGTGTATTTTGAGGCAAACCACTATCCTTCCTCACCTTCAAGGTCATAAAAATATTTTCTCTAGAATTATCTTCTGAAGGTTAGATTTGATGCTGATTGTTTTTCAAGAGAGCTAAGTATTAAGTTTTGAAACTGCTGGAAAATATAAACTCATGTAGTAGCAAAGTTAATTTTTGATTCTTCAAGTTTTTCTGGCTGTAAGTAAAATAGCTTTTCAAGAGCATAAATAATTGAGAATTCCTGTTTAAAATGTTAAATGATAATGTACATTTTCCAGGTATTAAGAAAGGAGAAAAAAAGGGACTGGCAAGATGACTCAGTGGGTCAAGGACTTGCTGTGAAAGCATGAGGACCTGGGCTGGGTGCACGTGTGTGTGTGTGTGTGTGTGTGTGTGTGTGTGTGTGTGTGTGTGTGTGTGTATGGTGTGTGGTGTGTGTGAGTGTGTGTGTTTGTGTGTGTGTGGTGTGTGTGAGTGTGTGTGTGAGTGTGTGTGTGTGGTGTGTGGTGTGTGTGTGGTGTGTTTGTGTGGTGTGTGGTGTGTGTGTGGTGTGTGTGTGTGGTGTGTATGTGAGTGTGTGTGTGGTGTGTGGTGTGTGTGGTGTGTGTGTGAGTGTGTGTGTGGTGTGAGTGTGTGTGTGTGTGGTGTGTGTGTGATGTGTGTGTGAGTGTGGTGTGTGAGTGTGTGTGTGGTGTGTGGTGGGTGTGGGTGTGTCTGTGTGTGTGAGAATAAGAAAGCAGAAAAGAAGGAGGAACATTCTCTTACATGCGTGAACACAGCGTCCTTGCTGAGCCCGTCACAACTGTCACTTGGGGTCCACGCTTCAGCAAACTGCAGAAAACCCCACTTTTCCTTGTCATCTTCTGTAGCCTGGAGTCTCTCCTTCCTGCCATTCAGTGTGCTCCCTGTGACCTGAGCCTGGGAGACAAAAACATGACGATCTTACGGCAGTCACCCCACAGCTGATTAGTACCTTCATTTTAGACTGAAGTCAAAAGTTACACACTGAGAAAATCTTCTTGCTTCAACATGGCTTTAGTAATATGATTATTTTGAATTACAATGTAATCAGCAACTGTTTAGGGAATTTTAACAGAAACATGATACAGTATTCACTTTCTTCATGAAATTTCTATGTTAATGTTTATATACTTAGGAATCTTCCCTAAATATGATTGGAACTCATTGCAATAGAATGTTTGTTTGTGCCCTGACCCCGAACTCATTATGGTGAAATCCTTACTCTCGGTGTGATCATGTTAGGAGGCAGGATCTTGGGGAAGTGATTAGGTCATGAATGTGGGACCCACTTCCACGGGATTAGGGACAGAATGCATTTCTATTTTTTTCTATGGTATTTTGCTGCAGCAGCTCAAATTACTTATACAGAAATTGGTGCCCCAAAAGTGGTATTGCTACCTGGAAGTATTTGAGAGTAAAGTAGGATGGTGGCTGGCAGTTTAAGTATGTATGCTAGATAATTCCACCAAAGTAATTTTAAGGGTATTTCCAGCTAACAAGGAGAGCAGCAGAGAAAGCATCTCTCTTCTTTAAGAACACCCACATAATCATGAAGGGAATGTTGCTGGGAATACAGGTCACAAAGGCCACTATGATAAGGTTTCAGAGGAGAACGAGAAGCATGCTATGGGAAACTGGAGGAAAGGTCACTTTGTTCAAAAGCCAAGAACTTAACTGCATGGACAATGTTCTAGTTATTTCTGGAAGAAAGAACTTGCAAGCAAGAAAACTACATCTCTCTGAGATTTCTGAGGATATGCTGAAGGAGCAGCATGGCTCCTTCCGATTTCTTGTGGTAAATGCAAGAAGAGATAAATACAGAAAGAATTGTTAAGCAGAAAGGTAACAATTTCCATTTTGGGAAATTCTTGGCTCATCAAGATTGCGGAAAGGAGAAAACTCGTCTTGTACAGGACATTAAGGTATATCCAAGTGGCCATTTAATATAACAGCTGGCATGGGCATGAACTGCAAAATCAGTCAACTTAGTAAATCTGAGAAACAACAGACAGAACGGTATCAGTAGAAACTGTGTCAACTGGAGCGAACCAATCACAGACAATATGACGGAGTGAGGGTAGCCTGTCAGCCTTCTGGGACTGCTCAGAACTGCAGTGCAGTGCTGCTTGGCTGGAAAACCAAACAAGGGGAGAAAGACTACACAAGCAACTTGGGGATCACCAGGGTGCCACTCTTGCCACAGGCCCTGGCAGTGTCGCAGAGTGTAGTGACAGATCTGCCTATACGTGGATTTTTAAAAGCAGTGCTGAGGGAGCTTCAGGGTGTGGGGCTGCCTAATAGAGCTCTGGAGTTGTGATCTATCTCCACTCTGACAGACCCTGAAAGCCCAGGCTGGGGTGGGGGGGGCACTACAGACTGTGTGGCTAGTGCCTAGCTAAGACAGGCTGATCTCTCCATCACAGAGGATCCAGAAGGTAGACCTACTTTCCTAGGCAGTCTACAACCCTTACCCAACTTGACCATGCTGGCTCCCTGATGCCACCTCCCATCCTCCAGATCTGGGAGGAATATGATTCCATTCATTACATGCTACCCAGTGTATAATGAATTATAGCATCCACAATGACTAAGAAATCCTTCTCTATAAGCATCCTTCAGTGTTGGGAAAAAGAGACAGTCAAGGAGAGGGTACAGACTGTCTTCTGCTAATATTAGTTGAAAACTCAAGAATCTTTTTGGAAAATATTTGGTAGTTTGGTCTCAGTAACACAAAGGACATGGTCCTTCAAATGTTAGGTTCCAGCTGATTCTAGCCTCGCTCCTAAAGCAGCTTAAGCAGTCATGAAAACACTTGTGAAGCATGTGTGAGGCATAGTCAAGATCCTGAGTAAATCTTAGCATAGGAGAAATAAAATAAAACAACAACAAAAGAACCAATAGAAAAAGGGCTTCCACAGGAGCTAGAAAGATGGCTCAGGAGCTAAAAGCTCTTGCAGAGGACCCACAGTTGGTTCCTTGAACCTACAACCTTTGTAACTCCATCTCCAGGGGACCTGATGCTTTTATCTGGTCTTCACAGACACCTGAACTCATGTGTACATACCCTGACATGAGCACGCACACACACACACACACACACACACACACACACACACACGCACGCACGCACGCACGCACGCACGCACGCACGCACGCACGCACGCGCACGCACACGCACACTCACACACACACGCACACGCACACACACTCAGTTAAAAACAAAAAGACAGTGGTGGCACATGACTTTAATGACAGAGGCAGATGGATCTCTGTACTGTAAGTTCGAGGCCAGTCAGAGCTATTATACAAAGAAACCCAGTCTCAAAAAACCAAAACAAAGAAACAAACAAATGAATAAATAAAATCTTAAAAAGAGAAAACAAAAAGGGCTTGGAAGAAATGAAATAGTCATGCTTGGAAATTGATGCCTTGGTATGGTAGAGGATGGTATGAAGTGAAGTACCTATTATTGTTATTTTGGTAAAAAAGTAGCCTTTGCCTGGATACATTAAAACTCAGCCTCCTAACTCATGCAGTGCACAGACCATTAAAACTCAAGTACTACCTTTCGATTCAGCATTGCCCACATTAGGCTGTCCAGAGTACCGTTTGCAATAAGGTAGTGAATATTCACAGAACTGCACTGTCCGATTCGGTGAGCACGGTCTTCAGCTTGTTTGATATGTCCAGGGTCCCAATACAACTCAGCAAAGACAACATGGCTTGCAGCAGTAAATGTTAAACCCTAAGCAAAACAAAGCAAAGTAACTGAGGCACAAATAAGCTGAGCATGAGATATATACACATAGCATGAGACACACATGTAATATAAAGTCTTCCTGAACACATTTTAGGAGAGAGAATAAGTGCTCTACTGTTCTAGTCAGCTTTAACTGTCAACCGTCTAGAGTCATCTGAAAAGGGAGAAAACAGTTGAGGGATTGCTCAGGTCAGCCTGGCCTATGGGCATGTCTGTGGGGGAATCATCTTGGTTGTTAATTGATATACGAAGGCCCAGCCCACGGTGAGTGGCACCATTCCCTGGGCAAATGGTGCCGGGCTTTGTAAGAAAGCTAGCTGAGCCTGAGTGAGTGAGGTAGTTAGCAATGGTCTCGCTTCAGGTCCTACTTGTGTCTCCGACTTTCCTCAGTGATGGAATAGAACATGTAAGCTAAAAATAAACCCTTTCTTCGCCTAAACTGATTCTGGTCAAAGTGTTTTTATCACAGTTACAGAGATGAAACTAGAGCACTAAGAAACTTGAAACAAGCGAGTCATGCAAATTAGGAAGATTTAACATAGGAACAGCAGATGAAGGCTACTTATTGCAAGATACTCAAGTGAGCTAAAAGGAAACATATCTGACAGACATTTCAATAGGCAGGGTATGGGTACTGAACATACAAACAAAACCACTTTATCCTTTGTAAGAGTCAGATTCACTTTACTGCTGGGAAATCTAACAAAACACATTATAAAAGGGACTGTAACACATAGTATCCATGGCAACTAGGCATCAAGCATTGACATACTCTTCATTTAATTCAAACCACTGTGCTGGAAAGTGAGAGAAACATGTCTGTAGTCAAGCGATTTCTTCCTGTGAAATCTCCCCTGCTATAACTCCAAAACCCTGAAGTTTATTGCCTCTAGTCAGTGTGTTATGCAGCCACTGTATTCTCTGTGCAACTGGCTTTTGCATGAACTTGAAATACTGTGGCAGAAAAGCATTGCCTTATTTTACATCCAATACATGAAAATGTGTCAAGACGCATCGCTCTATGATGGCTGGCTGAGTGAATTTTGAAGCCTGTTTAACTGTGGCCTCATACAGCCAAAGGTGTGGGCAGTGGATGAAAAGTGCCTTGCTTTAGAAATATGCTTTAATCCACATTGTTCACAAGTACTGGAGGGACAGGTTTTTTGAGGCTGTTAAACTATTATTTTTAGTTTACCTTAAAATATTTTTGTGTTATAACAAAACCATAATTTGCTGCCCTATGTAATGAGTAAATATTAAGGAGTGCAACAAATATCCTGAAAATCAGTTGCTTCATAAAATGGGTCAGAAGTAATAAAACCAGGATAAACTAAATGCAATATTAAAGCTTTGGTGCTATTTAGGACTGCAAAGCCATATTAAAGGTAATACTGAAAAACCAAGTATTATTATCAGAGGAACATCATTGAGCTTGTAAAAAGCATATATGATCAGGGCCAGAGGAGAGAGTTCAGTCAAGAAAATACTTGCCTTGCAAATATAAGGACCAGAGTTCTTTTCTCCTAGCCCATGTAAAAAGCCTAGGGTGGTGATGAGTACTTGTAATTCTAGCACGCAGGAAGTGGAGACAGGCAGATTCCTGGGACTCACTACCAGTCAACCTAGTCTACTTGGTAAGCCCTACCTTGGTCTCAGTGAGAGACCCTGTCTTAAAAACACAAGGTGCAAAAGCCCAGAGCTCAGGAGGCAGAGGCAGACAGAAGTCTTGTGAGTTCTGGGACAGAGATGGGTATGTAGAGAAACCCTGTCTCTAAAACCCCCCCAAAAAAGAAACAAACCAACCACCAACCAAACAAGGCAGATGAGTTATAATTCCAGACCCTTGAGACTCACACATGACCATGCTCGCAAGATCACTATCATTTTAAGTAGTCAATCTACAGTATGAGACATCACCCAGACAGCGTCCTTCCTGCTTCTCTTTGTTCTTATGAGGATATCAGCCTTCAAGTATACAAGTGTTGACTTATATAAGAGCTTCAGGAGCAAAACCTTGGGTAAAATATGAGTGCCCTGTACACTTAATTTCAAGATGTCATTTATTTTTTATCATATTTTAACCTCATAATAACTCTGGCTTTCCTGTCTGGTTTCATCTTATCATATCTCCTGACTGGGGGTGGGGGAGGAGGGGAGGCACTCACTCCATTTCTAATTTTAGGTTCTTGGTAATATTCTCTATGGTTGGAATACTCTAACCACACATATGTCAGATTTTAGGATGTTTAATCCAACATAAGGAAGTAATGAGACAACTCCTAGTGGGTCTCTAAATTGTTTCATCTTTATAATTTTTCTACACATAGAATTTTATATACCTCAACAAGCGGGGTGAAAACTGATGTTTAATATATAACAGGTATATGCCATGGAAGTATGCTCAGTCACCACCCCCACCCCACCGTGCCCACATGCGAAAGGACCTGGTTTAAACATTCACATCAAAATGTTTATTCTAATGGCATAAGTCCAAAAGAATCTTAACTTACATAGTGTGGCTACAACTGCCATTATTTTATTTAAGTATATTCTCCTCAATCTGTTTAACATGACACCTGATTGTCAGTGGGCAATGTGGTCTGTGATGGTCTGAATAAGAATGATCCCCACAGGCCCATATATTTGAATACCTAACCCCTAGTTGGTGGAACTGTTTGGAAAGGTCAGGAGGCGTGGCCTTGTTGGAGGAGGTGTGTCACTGGTGCAGCCTTTGATGTTTCAAAAAGCCCACACTACTCCCAGTTAAGGTCCCTGTCTTGTGCTTGTGGAGCAAGAAGTAAGCTCCTAGCTACTGCTCCAGCACCATGCCTGTCTGCCTTCAGTTGTGCCCCTTGCCATGATGGTCATGGACTTGAGCCCTCTGGAATTGGAACCATAAGTCCCATATTTAATGCCTTTTTTTAAAAAAATAAATTGCCTTGGTAATGGTGTTTTGTCACAGCAATAGAAAAGTAACTCAGACACAGACTACAGACTGCTCCTCCTCGTGTTAGCTGGGGCCATGAACTAACTGCTGTCCATTGAGAGGCAATGTGCTTTCCTCTCCAGGAAGCCAACTGGACTATAGATTTGAGGGAGGGATGTAAATTGCCCTCTTAGATAAGACATCCTTGCTTGGAGGCTGGGCATGGTGGTGCATACCTTTAATTCTAGCTCTGGGGAGGCAGATGGATCTCTATGAGTTTGATGCGAGACTTGTCTACAAAGTGAGTTTCAGGATAGCCAGGGCTGTTATACAGAGAAACCCTGTCTTAGAAAAGAGAGACATCCTTGCTTGGAGAAGAAAGCAAATTCTGGAAGAAGCCAAATGTAGTGGTGCACAGCTTTAATCCCAGGACTCTGAGAGGCAGAAGCAGGAGAATCCAAGGCCAACCCTGTTCTACATAGTGAGGTCCAGGTCAGCCAGGGATAAAAAAGTGAAACCTCATTCCAAAAACCAACCAACCAGCCGGGAGGTGGTGGTACGCGCCTTTAATCCCAGCAATCGGGAGGCAGTGTCAGGTGGATCTCTGTGAGTTCAAGACCAACCTGGTCTACAAGAGATAGTTACAGGACAGGGTCCAGCGCTACACAGAGAAACCCAGTCTTGAAAAACTAAACAAACAAGCAAAAAACCCAACCAAACAAACAAAACAAAATAAAATTCTAGAAGGCATGTGGTCCTAAGGACTTTGTGGAACTATTTCTGTGCAAGGTAAAATAATCTGCATGATAAAATTTCATTAATTAATTAACTGTGTGTGTGCATGCACAGAGGTCAGAGAACAACCTGAGTCACTTTCTTTGGTTCGGATGGCCACTGGTAGGATGTCCATACCCAATGGCTGACTCCACATCCATGTGCACATGTGCAGAACTAATTGGACACTCAATGGGTTATTAATTAAAAAAGGAATGAAGTCAGGAGGGAAATGTGTTGGAGGAGGGTGAGGGGAGCTGAAGAAAGTGGGTAAGGGGTTGACATGAGTAAGATGCATATATATGTGTGTGTGAAAATGTCAAAGAATAAAAATAAGAGCCTTCCTTCTGTTATATTTTCCAGTACTCTGAAGTAGAATGAATGCCTTTTATAGCAGACATCCAGATATAATATTATAATTTTATAAACCAAAATGAGCATTCATGAACTTTTTGTTATTTCCATGACACTTTCATATCAAACTTAGACTCAAATCTCTTACCTGGCCAGCAGCCTGAATGCTCAGGATAGCCACACGAGTACTGGGGTCCTTCTGAAATTGATTAACCAGGTGAATCCTTTCTGAAGATGGAACACTTCCATCTATCCTGATGTAACGAGCCTAGCATAAGAGAAACAGCAAAATTAGACAAGCCCTAGGCAGCCTTCTTATTTTACAAATTTTATACCTTATTTTAATAGTCATATAAAGATGCAAACTCCTTAAAATGACACATCAGCAAATGTTATACAGTAGGAATCCTAACAAAATATAACAATTTCTTACTTAAAAATTATTATACATACTATTGTCATGTGTGTGTGTGTGCCATGGTACATACATGGAGGTCAGAATGAGGACAATCTACAGGAGTTGGTTCTCTCCTTCTACCATGTGTGTTTCAGTGATTGAACTCAGGTTATCAGGCTTGGTGACAAGCACCTTTTAAGCTGAGCCACCCTGCCTACCCCCATTCCTGATTTTTTTAACCTCCTTGAAGATAGGCTTTATGTTTCGCGCATCTTAATACTACTGTGGTGGTTTGAATGAGAATGGTCCCTATAGACTCACTGCTTGGTCCCCAGTTAGAAGGACTGTTTGAGGAGGATTGGGAGGTGTGGCCATGCTGGCGGAGGTGTGTCATTGGGGATGGGTTTGGAGTTTTCACAAACCCATACCATTCCCAGTTAGCTTTTTCTCTGCCTCATGCCTGTTGTCTCAACATGTAAGCTCTCAGCACTGTTCCAGCACCATGTCTGCCTGCCTCCACGCTCTCTGACGTAATGGTCACAGATTCACCCTCTGAAACTGTAAGTCCAATAAATGCTTCCTTCTACAAGTTGCCTTGGCCATGGTGTCTTTACACAGCAATAGAGAAGTAACTAAGACAGCCATCAATGCCAAGGACAATTGCTTTTATGCAACAGAAATTCTATGAACATTTTTTAGTGAAGCAAATATTTCTGCAGTAAAATTCTATGAAAGTTCATACATAACCTTTAGGCAGTAGGTAAAAAAAAGTAATAGGGTCATAGGATAAGTTACTCTAGAATAAAACCAAAGCCAAGTGAGAAAGAAAGGAGAGACATTTTTTTTCAGGTATTAGGGAAGTACAGAGAACGGTGCATGTGTTTCTGAAATACAACCAAATATTACTTGGGAAAGTAACAATCTTAAATCTACCATTCATGACCTCTTTTTTCACATTATTAACCCTGAAAGAATTATGGGAGATAATTGTACCCATTGAAGTGAGGAATTAAAACACCCACACACACCTTTAAAAACAGAAACTCATTAAATGTTAAACTGAACTGATTTGTCTTCAAGAACTATTTAAGCTATGAAAAGGGCTGTATGTTAGAAATAGCTAAAAAGAATAAAGTCAACTTCATAAAGGCAAGTTAAGCTGCCAGGTTTGAGGGGGGCTGTGGCATACATCTTTTATCCCAGCACTAGGGAGGTAGAGGTAGTTGGTATTCAAAGTCACCCTCACCTACAGAGTGAGCTCCAAGACAGCTAGGGCTACATAGATTTTGAAAAGTCAAAGAAAAAAAAAAAACAAAAAAAAGTTAAGCCCTTTCAAGTCAGACTGTCCAAGTATCATTAAATGATCCTTTTGTTTTTTTTTAAACCTACATACCTGTACATATGTATGAGTGTGGGTCTCTGGTTTTCCTGCAGTATACAACAGGCTAGCAGGGTTGGCCTGTCTCTGCTTCCCATCTCACAGCAGGAGTGCTGGGATGACACCAGCTACACCTCAGCTCCTCATGCTTACAGAGCACACCACTCACAGAGTCATCTCTCTAGCCCTAAATAGTAGCTTTGTTTCTTCACAAAGTCTTTATTCCCTGATCAATGAACCACTCAGTATCCCTTATGGATTATAAAATCCTCTCAGGCGCTTTCTAAAGAAAATACCTGGTCAGAGTAGGGAAAGATGGAGAGAAATCCACCACGCTCCATGGATATCTACATTTTTAACTCTGTAAAGCTGAGTGAGATTCCAACACATCAGCAGAATGGGTAAGAGGAAGAGAAGTGGACTGATGTGCCTGGAACAGAATCTAGGAAATTTAAGATTAAATAAATGCAGAATAGGAAAATAATATGAATCTATTTATTGTCAATGATTTAAAAATTACTTGTAAGGTTAATGAAGTCTTTCTCAGAGCGTGAAAATCAATGAGAAAGAATCTTCCATGTTATAACATCATACTATGCTATCATAAATCCCTCTGAAGGAAGATACCTGAATATTATGAACACACTAGTTAGTGCCTAACCTGGTTTTAGTTCTGATTTTGAAAACTGACCTGCACTGGCTGTATTGCTCCATGTGTACAAGGCTTACACCACTTGCCAGGACATTTCTTATAGCTGCCACTGCACACTTCTGCAAGTCCTGAGCATTTACAGGACAGATGGCAGGAAAAGCTTTGAAATGAACAATGGGAGATACCATCTCTGATATGAATACTAGAAATTGAGGTGGCTCTCAGAGGATTCACAGAAGATCAGTGCCGTGTGGATATGGCCTGGTCAACTGCGTGGCCAACCACACAGTCCATGAACTTTAACGAGTCTACTCATTCTTAATAACAGTTTTCCACAGAGTACATGGCCTGTGACTTTAAAAGATCTGAAAGTTTCGGGGCAGTGATTTTCACTGGATTTGTTCTCTTCTATTAGCCACATGAGATGCATTTGAGATTATGCCACTCTCCAGTGTTATCTCCAAGAACAGGAAGGAAATCCCTTATGGAGTCAGGACAGAATAGCCTTAATCAACTCAGATAAATTGGACAGAGGAAAAATTTAAGATTGATATAAAGAAGAAAACAGTATGCCATGGTGTTAATATAATATTACTAAAATTTGTAAGAAAATATTTAATAAATTGTTGGTAAAACAATGTATTTTGGAAACATCACTCAAAGAAGAATAAAAAAGTCCACATAAATCATGAGATTAAAAGTTATTCAGTATAGTAAAAATATGTATTTTTCATATAGTGAAAATTATCTTATAGAAAAGCATCACAATACCTTGTTTTCGATGACTGCTTCTGTGCAAGCTTGCAGCATACTTAAATGGTGAGCAAAGACCAGAAATTTAAGCGACTCATTCTGAAGCAACATCTTAATATAGTCCTTCACTGCACCTGCCTAAACATTAAAGTTACATTTTATTAACATTATCATTTTTATTAAAGCACCGCGTCACTTTTAATAAAGGAAAAATAAAAGTTCCTGACACCAGGAAGTGTCTTTAGACGTACATCCTCATGACCTTCAGCTGCTCTGTCTCTAGGCAGCCTACTGAGCTGGAACCCCACATGTAAGGGACATGTGGAAAAGCTATCTGATACGTGCACTGCTTTTTTGTTATTTTTTATTGCTGTGACAAAATACCCAAGAGAAGTCAATTTAAAGCATGGGAATTCCTTTCAGTCCCTGGTGAGTTCTGAGACCGGGGAGACAGACCATCGTGGCAGGCAACCTGCTCAGCTCACAGCAGCTATGCAGCAGGGGGCAAAGGCACCATGGACTAGACAAACATCTTTTCAGGACATACTCCCAGTGGCCCACCTCTTTCAGATAGGCTCTGACAACCCACTCCTCACCACTTCCCAATGATGCCACCAAGTCACAAATCTGCGTGAATTCAGCCACTGATGAGATAGCACCTTTATGGCCCAGTCACCTCCTCAGAGCCCACAGTTAGCAAGAAAGCCTGTAGACAGGGGCCTGGGGCAGCTCAGATTGAAACAGCAACACAGGTGGGCTGAGGGAGAGGAGAGGAAAAGAGAAGAGGATGGGTAAGAGGAGAATGGTACCATTGTTTAGAAGGTTTGTTGTTCAGGACAGGCTATTTGTGTGTAGCTTTTGGAGCCTATTCTGGCACTCGCCAGGCTGCAGAGGATGGCTCTTAAAGTAGTTGTAACCAAATGAAAAGGAAGGATCAGGGAGGAATAAATAAAAGCTTTTAAGAAGACTGGGACTGAAGCTTAAGGCTGAAGAAAATTTGGTTCACCTTCTTAAATTGAGATAGTGAGAGGGGCTTGAGAGATGGCTCAGAGTTTAAGAACACTGACTGCTCTTCAAGAGGTCCTGAGTTCAATTCCCAGCAAGCACATGGTGGCTCACAACCATCTGTAATGAGATCTGGTGCCCTCTTCTGGTCTGCAGGGATACATGCAGGCAGAGCACTGTATATAAAATACATTAGTAAATAAATAAATTAAACAAAAGAGATAGTGAGGTAGATGTAGGAAAAGGCAGTTAGAGAAGTACAAGAAGGCCAGGAGAAATGGAAAATTTGTTTATAGAATGGAGAAGTGTGCTGGCTAGTTTTTGTTACCTCCAGACAAAATAGAGTCATTTGGGAAGACAGACTCTCATTTGAGAAACTGCCTCCATAACCTGACCTGTAGACAAGACTGTGCAGCATTTTCTTGATTAATGATTGATGAAGAAGGGCCTAGTCCATTGTGGGAGGTGGTATCCCCAAGCCAGTGGTCCTAGAGCAAGCAGGCTGAGCAAGCCATGAGAACCAAGCCAGGAAGCAGCACCCCTCCATGGCCTCTGCATCAGCTCCCGCCTCCAGGTTCCAGGCATGCATGAGTTTCTGCTCTGACTTCCCTGGACTTACAAGCTGTAAGGTGAAATAAACCTTTTACTCCCCAAGATGCTTTTGGTCATGGTGTTTCATCACAGCAGTAATAACCATAATAAAACAAGAAGGTTGAATGGACATTCTTAGCTAAAGTCTCTCCAAGTTATCCAGAAAGAGTAAGAAATAAGGATGGGGTGACAAATGTAAAATATGAATAGACTATCTCTTTACTGTTAAATACTAGCTACTGGTTGATTGTGGTGGTATACACCTGTAATTCTAGGAGGTTGAGCCAGGAAGATTACTAGTTTAAGACTAGCCTGGGTTATACAATGCATTCCAGGCTAGCCTGGGCTCCAGAATGAAAAAAAAGAAAAATGAAAGGGAGAGGGGCTGGAAAAATGGTTAAGTGCGTGTTGCTCTTCCAGGGGACCCAAGTTCTGTTTCCAACACCTATGCTGTGTGGCTCACAATGCCTGTAGCTCCAGGAGATATGATAACCTCTTACGGTTCCTCAAAGGCTTCTAAGTGTACGTATACACACACACACACACACACACACACACGCACGCACGCACGGAGAGAGACATATAAACAAAATTAAAATAAATGTTTCAATAAAGTTACTTATGAATTTTGGATAAATACGGCAGGCTGAACTCACTCAACCCCTATTCCCTCTTAGTCTAAATATAGCAAAGGGCATAGGCACAGAAGTCAAGAGCAGAATCTATGGAAGCTAAGAATACATGATGCTTGGTAAGTGATTCTCCATCCTGAGAGATCCTGGGCTGCCAGTGTGGAATGCTTAGAAGTACCTGGTTCCACTGCAGCCATGTAAAAGGCCCTGGAGGGACAGGGCGAGGGGAGCTAGAGAGGGGGCAACATAAGGAAATATGGAGGTAGGGGACTTTGCACAGCTTGTACCTCATCCTGTCCATAGGTTCCACAGGTACAGACTGCACCCATCCTGGCAGCAAACTGGAGTATATCTTTCAGATGGGGGTAAAACAGAATTCCTTGGATAAATGGAATCCTGCAAGCAGTATGGTACGAGGCATGCTTAAAGAAAATGCACCCGGCATGTAATCCCCAATGCAACCAACAGTGGTGAGTGGCAGGGCCTAAAGACAGGTATAGCATGAATTCTAATTGATCTTAATAATAAAAACTAAGAGACAGATATTGGGGTTCAAGCTGAAGACCAGAGAAGCAAAGTAGCCAGCCACTGGGGAGTTCTGACATCTACCAATGCTCAACTGAAGGGGTGATCCACTGAACCTCAGATTGCATTTCCAGACTGCACTGCTCCTCAGACTCACTCAGACTACAAGGTACTCCTGTATCCTCCCACTTTATATTCCTTTCTAGTGCTGGCATTAAAGGCATGGGATCCCAAGTGCTGAGATCACCTTTATGTGAACTGTCTCTCTTTTATACTGGATCAATTTCGTGTAGCTCAGGGCAGTCTTGAACTAACAGAGATTTGTCTGCCTCTGTCTCCCAAGTGCTGGGATTAAAGGTGTGTACCACCACTGCCTGGCCTCTACGGCTAGCAAGTGTGGCTAATTTTGCATTCTGATCTTCACTTGTTAAATCATAAACAAAATAAGTTCTACGCTCACGAATGGATTGATGATAATTATAAAAAGGCTGGAGACTATGAGCAATCCTTTATTCTTTCTATTCTCTCTATTCTTTTGGTCTTCTGCTGTGGGATAAAGAAGCACAAAAGTCTTCATCAGGTGCAAGCACCTTGATATTGGATTGTCCAGCCTCCAGAATTGTGAGCTGGAAAAGCCTTACATTGTTTATAAATGTTCCGGTCTCAAGTATTCTGCCATAGCAGCCAACAAGGGAACTAGGGAGTGGGCACAGTGTATGAGAATCGAGAGGATTAAATTAAGGTCATACTAACAGATACCAAAGGCCTGGGTATATAGTTCAGTGATTATGCACATAACAGGAGGCTCAGCCTCCTGGAATTGCAGGCATGTACTGCCACAATCAACCAGTAGCTAGTATTAAACAGTTAAGAGATAGTATAATCATATATTAAATTTGTCACCCCATCCTTGATTCTTACTCTTTCTGGATAACTTGGAGAGACTTTAGCCAAGAATGTCCATTCAATGTTAATGTACAAATTTCTAGGTTTGATATCTAGAAGTTAGGAAGAAAGGAAGGGAGGGAGGGAGAAAGGGAGGGAGGAAGAACAGGAGAGGAAGAAGAGGAAGAGAAGGAGGAAAGAGAGGGCAGGAAGAAGAGAGAAGGTGGAAGGAGAAAAGGATTGGAGGAAAGAGAAGCGGGAAGAGGACAAAGGGGAAAGGGGAGGCAGAAGGGAAATGAGAAGGAAGGAGAAAGAAAAGGATGATGACAATCTTGGAAGGTACTAACTCCAAAGAAAATAAAATGAATTGTATAGGAAAGAAAACCCAACAAATGAGAACAAAGATGTAATTAAACACAAGCAAGACATTCTGGTGTGCTACTACACAGTTGTGGATACTGTAGTGAACATTTCAAAAAGTTAGAGCTAAAGAAAGAACTTTAAATGTTTCACCATAAAAATGACAAGGTATTACATGCTTGCCCTGATTTAAACACTATATATTAGAACAGTACACGGCATAAAAATAAACAACAGTATATCCCCAGGTTCACCTGAAAATATTCTAAACATGGGTTTAAAAACAGATTAATGAATAATGATTAGGCCAAATTACCATAATTTTAAAAATTAGTAAAATTATGCCACTTGGATGGAAGAGTGGGATAAGAGACAGGTATGTATCTGGGGAGGGGGCAGAGATGTAAAGAGGTAAAATTTTATCATAGCTATCGACAAGTCAATTGATATAGCTGAAATTACAATGGGAGCAGTAATGCAATCTAAGATGCTACAAAAGCATTGTTGAGATTTGAGTGGATTAATACAAAACAAAGAACACTCAGATTTTACAAGACCTGAAAGTGGCAGCTAATGGGGAATACAGCTAGGAGACTTATTTTTTGGAGTGATTGCTTTCTGCTGTAAACATAACTTTAGTAACCTTTAAATAAAAATTGGAAAATACCTATCTAAAATTCATATGTATTAACTGCAAAGCCTCAAGGGTTATTCCACAAGCTGTATTTTGCATGTCTAAGTTTTCTGAACAATGGAATTCATCATATAGTGAGCCTGGAGCCTGGCAAGAGCTTTGGATGTCAGTGCCTCAAAGTGGAAATGAAGTTCTCTCAAAACAAGCAGCTATAAATTCCAGATATGTTGTCATGGCAACAGAAGCACTTTAATAAAGTGCATGTTTGCCTAAAGAGCTATATTTACTGGGATAAGCTTTTTGGTAAGTACATGTCAAGTTGGAATGAGTAAAGAGTACATTCATTATAATCCACATCTAGATTTACAAATGGAACAATTACTGTAACCTGGTCCCACATGCCTTCTTCCCAATGAGTTATTCCCACCCTCCTGTTATTAACAGCCCCTCCCCAGGACCAGAGCTGCTGAGAGAAGGCTCAAGCTCTCTGCACCCATTCTTTCAAA